AAGTCGCCAGTTCTCAGCTTCCAGCTCCACAGATTGCTCCGCATACTTCAGTTGCACTCGAAACTCGCCAGTTCTCAGCTTCCAGCTCCACAGCTACTCCGCGTACTAAAGTTGTACTACAAAGTCGCCAGTTCTCAGCTTCCAGCTCCACACATTCCTCCGCGTACTAAAGTTGTACTAGAAACTCGCCAGTTCTCAGCTTCCAGCTCCACAGCTACTCCGCGCACTAAAGTTGCACTACAAAGTCGCCAGTTCTCAGCTTTCAGCTCCGCAGATTGCTCCGCGCACTAAAGTTGTACTACAAAGTCGCCAGTGCTCATCTTCCAGCTCCCCAGAAACTCCGCGTGCTAAAAGTTGTACTACCAAGTCGCCAGTTCTCATCTTCCAGCTCCCCAGCTACTCCGCGTACTAAAGTTGTACTACAAAGTCGCCAGTTCTCAGCTTCCAGCTCCACAGATTGCTCCGCATACTAAAGTTGCACTACCAAGTCGCCAGTTCTCAGCTTCCAGCTCCACAGCTACTCCGCGTACTAAAGTTGCACTACAAAGTCGCCAGTTCTCAGCTTCCAGCTCCACAGATTGCTCCGCGCACTAAAGTTGTACTACAAAGTCGCCAGTTCTCAGCTTCCAGCTCCCCAGCTACTCCGCGCACTACAGTTGTACTACCAAGTCGCTAGTTCTCATCTTCCAGCTCCCCAGCTAGTCCGCGTACTGAAGTTGTACTACAAAGTCGCCAGTTCTCATCTTCCAACTCGCCAGATACTCCGCGTACTACAAAGTCGCCAGTTCTCATCTTCCCTCTCCCCAGCTACTCCGCGTACTAACGTTGCACTACCAAGTCGCCAGTTCTCATCTTCCAGCTACTTCGCGTACTAAAGTTGTACTACAAAGTCGCCAGTTCTCAGCTTCCAGCTCCACAGATTGCTCCGCGTAGTAAAGTTGTACTAGAAAGTCGCCAGTTCTCAGCTTCCACCAGACAACGGAGCGAGATCTATTGCAATTTACAATAAAGACAGCGCCGCAGCCGACCAGCGGCGACCACAGCCGACCACCGGCGACAACGCAACCGCCAGACCCTCTAAGAGAGCGAGCTCTACTGCAATTCGCAATAAGAAAGCGCCGCAGCCGACCAGCGGCGACCACAGCCGACCACCGGCGACAACGCAACCGCCAGACCCTCTAAGAGAGCGAGATCTACTGCAATTCACAATAAGACAGCGCCGCAGCCGACCAGCGGCGACCACAGCCGACCACCGGCGACAACGCAACCGCCAGACCTTCTAAGGGAGCGAGATCTACTGCAATTCACAATAAGACAGCGTGCGACAAGACCCTCTAAGAGAGCGAGATCTACTGCAATTCACAATAAGACAGCGCGCGACAGTCTCTGTGTGTGTTGTCTCGGTGTGTGTGGTCTCTGTGTGTGTTGTCTCGGTGTGTGTGGTCTCTGTGTGTGTTGTCTCGGTGTGTGTTGTCTCGGTGTGTATTGTCTCGGTGTGTGTTGTCTCTGTGTGTGTGTGGTCTCGGCGTGTGTTGTCTCGGTGTGTGTTGTCTCTGTGTGTGTGGTCCCGGTGTGTGTTGTCTCGGTGTGCGTGTTGTCTCTGTGTGTGTTGTCTCGGTGTGTGTTGTCTCTGTGTGTGTTGTCTCTGTGCGTGTTGTCTCTTGGAGGCGCGGGAGGCGGGAGGCGGGCTCGGGAGAAGCGGGATGAGACATAGAAAAGAAGAACCCCACACTAAGATGTGGGGAAAAACAATTTGCTTTTGAGTTACTAATGGCTAGGGCCTCCAACCTACTAGCGATGGCCTCCAAACTACTAGCGACGGCCTTCAACCTAAGAGCGCTTGAGGCAGCGAGCTGAATGGAGCTCTGGAAGACATCCACCCGAGCAGAAGTTTTTTCGCTTGCCATCCTCATGGCGGGGAGAAGCTCGTTGACCTACCTATTAGGTTGGAGGCCATTGCTATTGGAGGCAATCTAGCTTTCCTGCATCCCATGTTCGGCTACCTCACAGCCTACCCCCTCCGTTTAACATTGCTCTTGATTGTGTGAAACGATCTTGTCGAAAAAGAAGAACCGAGAAGTTTTTCGTTACGATCAGCTTTTGCCAGGTGTCCTTTCAATCGGGTGGATTTCCAACGTCGCCTGGCAAAGCAAAAGGCTTGTTCAGTTGGCTTCAAACTTGATTAACTTAAATACAATCGATGGCCTCCAACCTACTAGCGAACTAGCGACGGTCTTGGCTCGGCCGTTCCCAGTCAAGGTGTGTTGGGGGCGAAAATTTCATCAGGCGCACTTTTTTCACTGTGGCCAAAAGAAGCTCTCGAGTTCTGAAGTTCGGTTCTTTTTCTAACAAGTGCCACGCTAGTAGTAACAAGTGCCTTACTAGTAGCAACAAAAAGCTTCTTGTTACTACCAGTAAGGCACTTGTTACTAGAAGCGTGGCACTTGTTACTACTAGCTTCTTGTTACTCGAGTTCTGAAGTTCGGTTCTTTTTCTGTTACCTTCTTTGTATTCTAGTAGCTTCTTGTTACCTTCTTTGTTTTACTTTGTTTCACATTGTCTCCGTTTATTAAAGCCGGCAAATGTGCTGCAGCGGGGTGGGCCCAAAGGCTCCGGGCTGGGAAGGACTGCTCATGAAGACCGCCTTACGCTACAACCTGTGGTGTGTGTGAAGGGCAACTAGAAGTTCTAACCGAGCCCCTTTTTGAAAGACATCAAGCAGGCCAAAAAGACTGGCCGAATTTGCGGGTGAGCCCAACGATTTAGATTGGAAGACCACCCAGGGGCAGCCGTGTGGGCACACTGGGTTGATGGCCGCCATGCCGGGCTGCCTCTCTCAGTGTGAGATGAGCAGATGGCCAGCAAAGGACCACGGCCGGACTATGGAGGGGCTTGGGCGATGAGGGATTCCTCTAAGCGGCGTGTGGTGGCGCTCGCCAGGGAAACCAGACTGGGGGGAGACCATCGCCAAGGAGATTGGAGGGCAGTCGAGAGGATCAACATTGTGACGAAAGGTCGAGAAGGGCATCACCTTAGGACGATCATGGACGAATTCCTTCGGACTCCTGGATTCCAACAGGCGTTCCTGACTGAGAGGGTCCGCCGAAGGTTGGAAGCACCCCCAAGAAGGATGAGTGAGGTGGACCAAGGCCAAAAGGTGACGATCAGGCAACACATCCAAGACCGGAAGAAGGTCTTCGACTTTCAAAGCCAGGGGCTATGGAGCACTCAGGATTGGTCGGAGTGGCGCCAGTGGCCTGGCACGTGATCTTTGACCGGCGCAATGGAAGGCGCGGAGGGCATTTGCCGTGGGTTTGGTATGGCTACACCGTCTTCATGACGGCGACATAGTGGAAGAGGCTTGGGCAGGTCCCCGCATTGGGGATTGATTTTGGGGCCAAAGAGCCCTGTAGCACACATACCCGAAAGTCAGCGTAGGACGCAGAGTGTGGTTTGTGTGACGGGCAAGTGTGCCAATCGAGGGGTGTGAACCGAAGCCCGTTTTTCAAAGGCATCAAGCAGGCCAAAAGGATTGGCCGAACCTGCGGAATCAGCCCGCTCTTGTCTTTTTCAACCTAATTGCAAAAGGAACCTGATAGCAATCAATGGCATCCAATCTAATAGCGGGCCTCCGTCATGCTTGTTTTTCATGCTCATGCTTCTACCACACTTGCCTTTACACGCTTTGATCCACCGGCTCGAATAACAGAGCCGCTCCGGGCAGCATCGCTTTGCACTCCCGCGTTGCCCCCTGGTGTTCCCGGAAATGGTCGAGGATATCCCAGCCTCGGGCGCAGGAACTTCAACAACCTCGAGTTCATCGCGCTTGTAAAAAACTTGATGGGCGGCCTCGACTTCTACCACGAAGAGCAACCGCAAGGGCTCCCCTTCGATCACGTGGCATGACAACAGGGTTCCCGTGGGCTACTTTCAATGACTGCGAGCCACTGAAAAAGGACAAGCTGAACGCAAGCGAAGCTTCCAGGCGTATAGGACTGGAGACTCGAGAGATCTTTTCAGTCGGGACAAGGTGGCTATAGCCGATACAGGGAGGATGCGGAAAACAAGGGCAAGGAGGTGCGCCAACGCGTTTAACGCCTCAACCTCCTTGCTGTGGAGCTCTACGCTGGCTTTACACTGCAAGGCTCTCCCAGGCCTCCTCCGCGCGAGGCGGCAGACGTCACAGTTGGGGCCCCAACTATGCCTCCGCGACATCGCCCTGGGACATCTTCAAGGGAAGGTGAAGGAGGATGACGAATGGGACGATTGGGGCCTGGTCGCTTGGTGGGCGGCGCTCGTCATTTGGAACGATGACTGGTTTTGGCAAGGCTCAACGAGCCATACGAGCCACCCAACTCGTGAAGAAGTTCTAATTCAAAGCTGGGCTTCGTCCAAAGCACGGTCTTGAGCGGAATCTTGGCCGATGTTCACGGCCAAGTCCGTTCAATGCAGAGCGCGCAGCCCAAACGCAAATGCGTTTTCCTCCTCGAAACATTTTGGTGTGTGAAAGCTCGTGCAGAGCTGAGCCACAAAGCGGCGGCGGCATCACAAGTTCACCAACAAGTGTCGCGTTTTTGCCGCACAGTGTTGGCTTTAGAAGCATGAGCCTTTTCCATGCGCCACGCCAACACAACAAAAATACGTCGGCGTAGCGTATATTATGCGCCCACATATCCGCAAGCGCGACAACGCCAGCGCCAGCAAGCACCCGCAGACCTGGTTGGGAACCTGGCCTGGAGCCCGCCAGCGGGCAAGCGCAACAACACAACCCGAGTGCAGCATCTCAGCACGACAACCTGTCAGCATGTTAGCGTGACCCCTGCCAAGGCCCCAGCATAACAATTTGCCAGCATGACGCCACACAAGATTATCAGAGTGACACCAACGACATGCGTTGGCGCTTTCACTCCGTTAATGCGTTTCAGACAGTGAAATTTTAGAGCACAATTTTTGGTTTTTTGTTTTCCTGGCGGTGAATAATTTTGCAATTGTCGCTTGGTCTTGTGTGCGTTGTTTTTTGGTTCCAGCCTGGACGTCCTCCATGTTGAAAGTTCAACCATTCAGACACCCGTCATATCCGAACTTTGTAGCCAGTCCCCAGAAAGAGTGCCAATTAGATGAGTACCGATTAGATGCGCCCTGCAGGACAGCTTTGAAACTTACCCCGGTGAAGCAGAGTTGGTTAAAGAACCAAGCGCCAGCCATTCCCAGAGAAAAACCAACCAGCAAGAAACCTTTGAAAAGTTGCGCTACCAATTTCCAAAGCATCAGGACTCAGGTTGAAAGATGGCACAATGGCCGTTTGATTTCACGGTGTGATCATCTCTGCAGGTGGCCGGCCGGTGTTTCTGCTTGATTGACCCAACACTCAGGACTGACAACGTGTTTTGCAAAGACTGCCGTTTTTGGCTTCGCACAGTGGAAGGTTAATGCAAATCCGACAGCTTTTGAATGCCGTCACTGCACTTCATGTGAAACTTGGTTAAGCATGAGTCGGACAAGGAAATGCACGAGGTGCCACCAGGTTTTCACCAATGGAACTGAGAGAAACCATGCAAGACCACCCAGCGAACAATTTGCACAAAGAAGCTCAGAGAGCTGGGAAAACAAAGCCAACAGAAGATGTTGTTGGATGTCCAATGTTTTCAGTAGAGATGGCCTAGGTCTGGAGTCTGGAGGAGCAGATTTGCAAATTCACGCCAGGAACAAAGGTCTTTTGGCAAAGTTTTTTCTGGACGCCTACGAAGGTCCGCCTGAGCCTCAAATGTTCACTTCGCCTCTAAGGTGGTGTGAGGACGCTACAAACGGAGCAAGGATGCTACTAGGGGCTCCTGGCCTTACTACTAGTAACACGTGCATCGCTACTAGGAACAAGAATCGCAAAAACAGCTATCAGAATCTTCTTTTGAGCTACTGATCGAGATGGCCTCCAACCTACTGGCGAAGGCCTCCAACCTAAGAGGAATGGCCTCCAACCTACTAGCAATGACCTCCAACCTGAGAGCGATGGTCTCCAACCCACTAGCGATGTGGAGCATCAAGCCCTTGACGAACTCGTTCCTGGACGAGTGACGAGTCACAGCCCATGCAGTCCTTTACGAGCACCCGTGCGATCGATGAGAGAAGAAACGCGTGAAAATGCGCGCGCTAAAATGCGTCTTTGAGCTTCAATTTTAACGCAAAAGCTGTAGACTGAACCATGAGCGCAAGTCAATTCAATATGAAGTGCAAAAGGAGACTTAAAAGTCGGTTCAATCCATGTTTGCCAATCAGTGATGTTTTCCACAAATCTATGACCCAAATGAATAGCGCACGCGCTTCTTTAAGGAAGCATGAGCTATCCTGCATCCTAGATGAGAGCTAACTTGTCGCCCTGACTGAATTAAGTAGGCGCCTACTTAACTTGGAGGCAGGGCGGGCTTGAGAAAAAGAGTTGAAACGTGATTTCGGGCCTCGCCCTGAAAAGGCTGTTTACAGAGCTGATCGAGCAAAAGACAGGAGCCGTGAAAAACTCTTCTCCCAATTGCCATCCATTCGAATACGGACAACAACCTGTCCCGTTGGTCGGCTACGGCATCCTTCACGTGTGTCAATTCGTCGTACAAGTAGTCGGGTCCACGACGTTTGTTTCTTAGATAGTGGCCACATGTCAAACAGCTACTAGCTACTAGTAGCTTCTTGTTAGTAGTAATGAGATGCTTAACAAGCTGGGCCAGACTGAGCACAACTTCCACCACTGTCCCACTTACACGTGACATTTGTTGGTGCTCACATTCAAGAATGGTTCTGCTACAGCTGAGGCATGGCGGCTTCCGAGACACGCGCAGCCACACTATGCAAGAGCCGGAAAGCCCAGACACGAAGCAGCCAGAACCAAACACGGCAGAATGAAACCAACCACGCCACATGGAGTAGCAACTAAATATAGTCTTAGAAACAAGTGCCTTACTAGTAGTAACAAGAAGCTAGTAGAAACAAGTGCCTTACTACTAGCAACAAGAATTTAATTAGAATTGTAATTACAAGCTTCTTGTTACTACTAGTAAGGCACCTGTTACTACTTGCGATGCACTTGTTACTACAAGCTTCTTGTTACTACCAGTAAGGCACCTGTTACTAGTCTTAGAAATCGAGTTGTGACTTGCAGCCGGTTCGATCGAGTCACATGTTGGCATGTGCACTTACCTTGAGCCACGGCTCGCCTCAAGAAAAGCGCGCTGCTAACGCGCAGCATAGTTTCAGCTTGCCCAGAAGCTGACCATTTTCGTTGCAAACCCATAGGGCCACCTATCTCCATGCACTCTTGGGGGCTTCAACCACTACCCGTTTGGGGGCGTTGCATTGATAGTGGAGCGCTCTCTCCAGCGCTGTTGACGTGGTCTTTGGCAAGCCCTGCTTCGCCTGGAGCCAACGACGAGCGGGCAGACGTCCTTGAGAACAAGGTTTAGCACTGGAAAAGCATCCCTGGAAAGAGAAGAGCCTCATTTGTGGTCAGCCAGGAGCCCATAGTAGCGTCCTTGCTCCTAGTAACGATGCCAGGAGCCCCTAGTAGCATCCTTGCTCCCAGGAACCCCTAGTAGCGTCCTTGCTCCTAGTAGCGATGCCAGGAGCCCTTAGTAGCGTCCTTGCTCCTGGTAACGATGCCAGGAGCCCCTAGTAGCGTCCATGCTCCCAGGAACTCCTGGTAGCGTCCTTGCTCCTGGTAGCGATGCCAGGAGCCCCTAGTAGCGTCCATGCTCCCAGGAACCCCTAGTAGCGTCCTTGCTCCTGGTAACGATGCCAGGAGCCCCTAGTAGCGTCCATGCTCCCAGGAACTCCTGGTAGCGTCCTTGCTCCTGGTAGCGATGCCAGGAGCCCCTAGTAGCGTCCATGCTCCCAGTAGCAATGCCCTCCAACCAAATAGTTGGCCCTACACCTGTGGCCCTAACGATGGCACAACTTGTGCAGAGACGGGGTTTTGTCGCCCAAAAGGGGTGCAAACAGATGAGCTTCGGTTCATATCATGTTTATGTCGTTTGCCTGCCAAGACTTATGGAGCGTGGCAGCTCTGTGGCCATGATACCCGGAGCCTATCAAGAAGCCACGGCCTTCACCTACGGCCGGGAGCGTGTGGCCAGAAACCCACCTCTGGCAGTCCAAGCGTTCTTGTTGCTTGAATTTTCTTGGCTTTGGCAGACAATCAACGAATGTGCACTTGTGTTGTCAACGTCGAATGACTTCTGAGGCTTTGGCGCGACGCAAAGGTTTTGTGAAGTGCCGTAGCATTGGTTTGTTTTTTCACATTGTTTGAGGTTCTCTCCGCAAGGCGTGTTGATCACGCACTCCAATTTTTCAGTCAGCGGTACTGTAAATGTTGGAGCTGAAGCAACACGCTTAAGAAGTTCACAGGGCACCTGGTTGAAGGCAAGATTTAGAACCATGACTCTCAGCCAAGAGAGAACGAGGTACTGCCTGCAATATGGGTATCGGTTGCATCCGGTGTTCAGTGCTGAGATCGCAGTCATGGAAACGTATTGATGCATGACGGCTGTGACAAGCTCCGGTCTTTTCGCTCCCGAGGTACACCTTCGGCGAGAGCGAGACGCCCGAAACTGAAGGAACTGAGAGAGAGAGAACGATGCCCTTTGCTCCTAGTAGCATCCTTGTTCCTAGTAGAAAGCAGAAAGGAAGAAAGAAGAGGAGCAAATGCCCAGACCAAAACTGAAAACGGAATCGGACATGAAAACGTTTGTGACACGTGGTCCCGCTGGGCATCGTCGCGCTCGCACGCCAGGCTTTCACTGGACTTAAACGGCGCTTCGAGACTGAAAACCAGACGGTAAAGACCAAGCAGTTTTTGCAGCACTTAGGTTGGAGGCCATCGCTACTAGGGTGGAGGCCAAAAACTATTAGTAGCAAGAAGCTACTAGGGTGGGGGGTAACACAGGAGGGTTGACGCCAAGAAGCGTGTTGACAACATGTTTGTGGCCCCACCTCGCGACCACCTCCAACCACAGCACATCAACCCCGCACTGTGCAGCCCAGCCCATTGCCACATCGAGGATGACGAAAAGCATGATTCTGCTCGGAAGTGCAGGGTGCATGCTTTCGGATTAAGCTGCACAAACGTCAACGTGCACATCTCACACACCACTGTGAGCAGTGACGTTGCGTGGGTTTTTGTTGAAGAGGTAGTACCTAGCGGCCTAGCTGGCCCAGCGGTCTAGCTGAGGTACTACACAGCTTGTGGCTTTGAGTGGTTTCGTTTATGGTCGCTCGGATGCAAAAAATATGAAGCCGACGACGTTCCTCCGAGCAACTGTCCCCCGAATTTCGATGGTGAAGAAACGGAAAGCAAAAGCCAAAAGCAAAGTGCGCTAGGAGCAAGAACTAGCTGGCCTTACTAGTAACAGGTGCATCGCTACTAGGAACAGGTGCCTTACTAGTAGTAACAATGTTTGCTACTAGTAACAAGTGCCACGCTACTAATAACAAGTGCATCGCTGGTTTTTTGAAACGGAAGTTGACGGTCGAAGGTTGGAGTTCGGCTAAGTTACAAGTAGACCGGAAGACTCACTGACATCGCTACCCGCTACGTTCGAGCTTACAGTTATTTCATCCATTCGGGTCCGAATTGAACCAAATCATCGAGTTTCCTTGAAGCGCGAGCTATCCTGCGTCCAAGGTAAGTAGCTGTTAGCTATTCCGACCTCAGCTACTACCTCCTAGCGGCCTACCCCACCCCCGTTCCTATACAAAAAGAAAGACTTGTTCCTAGTAGCTTCTTGCTCCTAGTAGTAAGGCCAGGAGCCCCTAGTAGCTTCTTGTTACTACTAGTAAGGCACTTGTTACTAGTAGCTTCTTGTTCCTATACATAAACACGGTAATTTCCTACCTGACTCAAACAGATTTCTCAACGAACTGTCCATGCGTTTGGTTATATTGGCCATCATCGGACAAATCTTCAAAGTCGGAGATTTCTTCAAACTCTTCCAGATCGCATTCAAAGGCTTGAAAGCGCATCGGCATCACCTGTGCTGGCCAGCTGGTCAATCAAACCTACTAGCGATGGCCTCCAACTCTGCAAGAGAACGAAGGCTTTCACTGACTTCAAGGTGGTGTTTGCACCCACCTCCTCAAAAGCAGCCATCAGACGATTCACAAATGACTGTTCCGACCCGTCTGATTTTTTTTGTTTTGTCAAAGAGCTCAAACGCCTTCAACGCTGCAGAATCCTCCCAAGTCGACGGCGACAACAATTGTTTCATTCCATTGCCACCGTTGCAAGCAATTCCGGTTTCTTTCTCGATGCCATGTGGTGCCTTTGCAAGGTCAGCCTTGGCGCAAGCATTTGTTCGCGCTTTTCGGGCAGATTCCGAAAACGGAAAGAGTTCACCTTGGCCATTAACAAGTAACAGGAAGCTGCTAGGGGCTCCCGGAATCGCTACTAGGAGCGATCGGACGCTACTAGGGGCCCCTGGCCATTTCTACTAGGAACACGAGGACGCTACTCGTGACAAAGGGCATCCGTGGTCAGCGAAAGATCAGAAGGAGAGTCTTCAAAAGCTTGCAGCAAGAATGCTCCTAGTAGCGATGCCAGGAGCCTCTAGTAGCGTCCGATCGCTCCTAGTAGCGATGCCCTTTGCTCCTAGTAGCTTCGTGTTACTTGTTAAGATTCCCACGAAAAATCTAGAGACCACATGAATAGTGCGAGCGCTTCTTTAAGGAAGCGTGAACTATCCTGCGTCCTACCTATAGGGGAGCGTCCCAGTTGCGGCCTACCCCCCCGGCCTTTAAAAAACAAGAAAACCATAAAATCAATACTGAACATAAAAACATAAACAAGATGGAGCCCACACAGCCGGTCAAATCCTTTTTTCACGCTCCGGCTCGGTAACGCAAGGCTGGTTAGCCACATGGGCAAGCGAATCAGGAACATCATGCGCCGGGGGCTCCACCACCAAGCTCCGTAGCATTCATGAAGGGTCTTCCTTTTGCATTCAAATCAAGCACTGGCGTAAAGGTTGTGGCAGAAACAATGGCACTGTCCCAAAGTCTCGAAAATATGCACTGAAAATTGTAACCCCGCGTCCATATGATACAGAGAAATCTACAACTGCGGCGTCTAGTCTTCTTGTAAGTAGGAGTGCAACACCGTGCGTTGTTGCGTCTCACCTGCATCAACAAGAAGCATGTAATACACGCGCACAACGGAAGTGACTAGAACTGTCCTGGATAATTTAATTTTCCAAAAACCTCATGGGTCTTTCGTAAACACGAGTCAGTAAGGAGATGAATTACAATTCTAAACGGTTTGGATGTCTCACCAGAGCCTCGAACAGCGGACGTTTGGGTCCCAATTATTTCCAGCAACGATGAAGCCAAGATCGAGCTCTGTGGCCAAAGCAACAACGTCGACGTCTGTCGCCCAATTAGTAGCAGAACGCACTCTCTTGCTCCTCGTCATCATGGAGCTGTCACCCTCTTTGTAGCGAACTAGCATGGCGCCGTCCACCACTTCTGCTCCGAGGACATCATTGGCGCCTCGCCTTTCAAGAAAGCAAAAGGAGAACCGCGAAGTAGTGTGGTCATGGACCAGTCGTCCAGCCACGTCCCCGCAGCTTCCCTCGTCAAACATCCGGCCACGAAGTCCAAGAATGCCTTTAGTGTCTTGGCATGCATGTGTCGCCCGACAATTTTGCGGAGAGCAGCCGCGACAGTGACTCGGCCGTCCCAGTCAGCCACGTAAGGTTCAAGAGTCGTGGGTGGACGGCTCGCGCCTGCATCAGCACTCGCCGCCCCCACCACGTTCGGCGGCAAACACACGCAGAGCCCCGTGTTCTCGGAAAAATTGCGCCGTGGGAGCGGCGACCTCCTCCAATGAAAGAGACCAGACATTGCAAAACTCTGTTCGCAGCTGACGCCACTTGGTAGGGTCGTACTTCCTTTTGGTTCCCTTAGACTTAGTCGCCACGGTCGCCTTCATAGCCGCCGTCCAAGACCCTGGGGCGTACTGAAAGCGACCCTCTGCGTCGGCCGCGGTAGGTGTTCCGTGGCTGGAAAACCAGGCAGATGTCTGCGAGCTTCTTCAAACTCGGCAATACACGCAGGTGGATTAGTTTGAAAGATAGAGAAATCGATATCGCCTTCTGGCATCTCCGGTAAATTGCAAAACAAGGAACACTCGAGAGCTTGAGCGCGTCCAAGGATCATGTACAAGCGCTGCGTATAATCGTCTGCCGAAGAGTAATCTGGCTTCGAAAAAACAATTGCGCGCCCAACTCCTTTGATGGTCTTGCCTTGGGCATTGTTGTAGGTTCCAGCAGCCAGGGTAGCAAGAGGAACCTGTATCCTAACTGCGTCCAACATCAAGGCCCCTTTGCGATGTAATTGCACGCGGAAAGAATCTTCACTTGGTTCCAAATGCCACACTCCAGGCAGAAGCTGTCTAGTATAATCTTCTTGCTGATCCTGCTACAAGTCAGGTGTGACTCAGAGATGCATGGTTCCTACAGAAGAGAGTGTTAGATTAAACTGATGTTCACAAACTGTGCAGGACACCTGTCTTTTGTCACATCCGTGTCATGACTTTCATGCTAAATAGCTGTAGACCCCAGCCTCAATACGCAAGGTAATCGAGGCAAGGAGATATAGTCTAAGCGAACATATCCAGTCTCCCAGCACATCTGACCCCGCAGGCCCGCAGGGACACCACCACCGGCGGGTGCGCCAGGCACACCAAAGCGTTCATTGGGACGAAATTGAATGGCGACCACCTCGGCCAGACACTTTTGCAGGATTTCTGGTGGCAAGAGTTTCTTCGTCACCTTCACCTTCAAGCCCAAGTGCAACGGTAGAAACGACATGAGGTTGCCAGTTTTACTTGCCATGTTGGTCAAGCCCAGAATCTCGTGCAGAATGGGTTTGACGTTGGTGAACTCACTTAGATGCACCAAATTCACTGCTTGAACGTAGTAGAGCAGACGACCTTTGTCGTGTAGCAACGACGTCAAGAAGGGTTCCTGCTTGGTGAAAACCGCTCCGAAGCGAGACTGAAAGGACCTCGAAAGATAAGTCGGGAAGTGTCGACAAATCAGCTGGGGACGTCCAGTGTGGGTCTTGCAGAAAGCTGCAACACCAAAGCTTGCGCGGGCAGAGTCGTACGCGCACAACTGCTGGAGACGAGCCACCTGGTCCCAGTTCACTGCGCTGAAGACACCGCGCGCGAAGAAACCTGGAGGACCGGACCGGTGGGTGCGAAGACATTGTGTAGTCCTCCTTCGGAGCCGCAGACAAAAGTCGACCTCCGACCACTCGCATCGTCTCCAAGAGCTCGGCCAACGGATCTCCATTTCCGAAAGCGGTGAGAGCCTCTGAACAAGATGACCTGTTTCAGAAAGGTGCGAAAGACTGCAGGTCCATGTTCATCGATGTCGACTTTCTTCCTGCGCTGTTGGTCGTCCATCTTCTCGTATCGGGGCGCCCCAGGAACTTCAACGCCGAAGGCTTCCATGAGGGATCTGGCTCGCACGGGGTTCAGCTGAAGGAAGTCACCAGCCAAAATCTGACATAAGAGATTGCCGAAGATGTTGCTCAGAGAATCCTCCGGAGAAAGGTCCAAACGACCATAGCAGGCCGATCCGTGTAGCGCTGCCAACAAGTTCGGTGCAGTCAGGCTAATCTCATCAACAAACACCAGTGAAAGCCGCCACCGCTTACGCTGCAAAGCCTCCTTCTTGGTCTTAGATGGTTTTTGCAGCAAGAGCTCTTGCGCCCGTGTGAGGCCAGCCATATGGTGGAACGCACTTCCTCCTATGAGTCGCAGCGACCCCTCTGGTGGTGCCAGGTAGAAACTCGTTGTAGATCGGGAGGATAACTTCTTTAGAAAGTTTTTTGCCGCTTCCTCCAGCTCCGTGTACAAAAATACGCCCCACCATGTCCCACGTGGCCTCACAAGCAACATCCAAGTCCAAATCTATACTTGCCACAACTAGCATGATCATTGTATAAATGAATTCGATATACTTGGAGTGTTCTACACAAGAATCATTGCATCATCCCTACAATTTGTGACGATGTCAAAATTTAGCTCCATCGCCATCATCGCACGCGCGCGCGTGAAATTTTGCCATCTACAACCCTTCTCAACCAAAGCCAACAACGGATCGAGTCCAGTGCGATCACCGAAGCAATGAGTGAGCCAGCCCGGCTTCGTTGGCTTTGCTGCAAGGGTGCGATAGCGAGGATCACGGCATTGTATTGATCTTGAGAGATTGCATACTGCGCGGGAGGTGCTGCAATCTGTTTCAACGTCCACCGGACACTGCCATTTGCTCCATCTTGGTGCGCTAGCTGGAGCACAGGTAGCTTCTGCTGCAGTTCCTCATGTTTCAGAGCACATTGCTTCACGAATTCAGCCGAACACTTGGTGCTGGAACTTGTTCTTCCTGGACCGCTGGTTTTCACCACTCAGTCTGTGAGCGAAGCCTAACACATCTTTTTGACTCACTGGAGCTCAGGTTTGATCGGGCAATCGTCCACATCGAGATCGGATCGATCTTCCACGCCGCCCACATCCACAAACTCAGCCCTCGCTCCCAAATCGTCATCTTTGTGAGGAGTGACTTTGTCCCCTTGCGTCGGTCGGAGTCTCCTACGAGCTTCCGTCATCAAATCCAAATTAGCGCTCACCTCTCGACTGACGAGCGTAATTTGGCCACACGGTCTGTCGCGACACACAAACAGCAAACCCCTCTCTGTGGTAGCGCAGGTAGCGTACCGGGCTCGATCGATATAATTCGAATACTCTGTATTCAAAGTCTTTCCTTTTTTGCACTGGTATTCAGTGTAGTCGTCTTGGGCTTGAGCCAAACAGTCATTCGACCGTTTGGACATGGTGAAAAGCTCGCTGCGCTCGGTCCTTTCTTAGACTAGAAACAAAAGAGAAAACAATCGTGCATCAACGGTCTTCCAAACATGAGCAAGCAACGGACCTGAAAGATTGGGATCGTCAACTGTAACTCAAAAGCACATTGGTTCATCAGCATCTCTCTCAAACAATTACTGATCTCAAAAACATGTTCACTCAACTTCAACTGCGGCAAGGTGGTGCACGTCCTTCTTCTGGAACCATTCACGCGCACAAACAACCACAAGTCACACGTGTTGACAACCGACGAGCATGACCCATGCGAGCTGTTGCCACTGAAACTAACGACCACATATAGTAGACGCCTGTCTTCACATATCGTCTCACAAGTCGAAGATGTGTCTATGACACATGCAGTCACTAAAGAGAAACACCCGATCGAAGTGTGAGTAGACACTGTGAAGTGTTTTCAGCTGCACACATAGCGTTGCCACACAACTCCTGCTCGCGCGTCAAGTGCCAAACTGGTGACACACACGTCAACACCAATCCTTCTTTCCCAATGTGGAGGTCGGCCTCCACCAATCATAAGCTGTCGCAACAACTTCTGTCATGTAATGACTTGAAACATCTGTTCAACGTGACAACCCACGACGATGGAAACAAGGGACGGTGTTCACTGAACCTGATCTATAAATCAGAACTCCAAGCCACCGACGCCTACTCCAAGGCAGTCTGCATTCTAGGGTCTCAACTAGGGACATTGCGTCCTAAGGTCCTGATATCTGAATATCTAGGTTCGGCGCTTGTAAAATGTATATGCTTGCAGCAGCGCTTGAATTCTCACACATTGTTCCTCACTTGGGTGACGAGTGAAGTGCAAACTTCTGTGCGACGTTTTGCGTTTTGGTCTTTTCGACCTTTCCCGTTTCGGGAAGTCTGATGTGTTTCATGAAGCCTCTCGTCAACTTTTAGGACCTTTCGAGTCGTCTGAAACATGTGGGGTGCACTCGTTCGTTCACGGTTTACATGTTTCCACACTCTCACCGCGTTTACGCCAGCATGTTTCGCGCTCCCCAGTGGCACGGCGCCAGGCCAACGCACTTCCCACCACGCAAATCCCAATGGCAATGCGACGTCGCGAACGTAATTTCGCCACACGGTCTGTCCCAACACACGACCAGCAAACGTATCACATGATACCACTAAACATGCCCGCTCGCCAGCAACACGCCGCGTTCACGCCAGCATGTTTCGCGCTCGCATGTGGCACGGCGCCGCGCAAGCGCACTTTCCACCAAGGCTGCGCAAGTCCGCAGGGCACAGGCCAGGCTTCGAGTCACGCTTCGAGTCTGCAAAACGAGCGTTTCGTACGAGACTTCCTCCAACAGTCACACGTCAAGTCTCCAAAACGAGCGTTTCGCACGACTTCCTCAAAAACTCACATGTCCAAGTCTGCAAAACGAGCGTTTCGTAGAGACGTCCTCCAAAAGTCACGCGGAAACACCCATCGGAGCACACACATCACGCATCCCTGCCAAGCAGTTTTGGGATTGCAGCCCCTCCAAACAACATACGCTCACACGCCAATCCCAATGTCACTGCGACATTCACCTCCACCATAACTCGCAACCTCACAATTCCCACGCGCCTGCCACGAAACTGTCCGGGTCCACGCGCCTAATGCGCACAAAGCACTGCGCCTGCCACGAAATGTCACCTCTGTCACACCCCGCAAATTCACGATTCCCGATTCCCTCCGCCTGCCACGAAAAGTGACAATATCATATCATGTGAGCCTCAACAAAATTTGCACCGCACCACACGTTTGGGATGACTTCGACCCGTTCTGAGAACACTCCCAACCACCAAAAATCAAATCGTCGTTTCAGCTGAGGCTGAGACTTGTCACGAAAACAGAGGTTCGATGCAACGCCCTGAAACGCAAATCCCGATGGCACGGCCACGTCCAACACCCCAAAAACACCACTCTTCAAATGCTAATCCCAATGGAACTGCGCAGAAAACTGCGGATCTCACAAAACGCTGCGCCTGCGCAGTGAATGAAATCATCCTCCACACTTCAACATCTTAGATTTCCACACGTTTCCACGCTACTTCACACGAATCTGACACGTCGCGTTTCCATCCGAAATCCTCTCCAAAAGCTTCCCCCAATGGCAGCGCCTTAGCGCTCCACCACGAACGGCTGCAAACGGTTGCGGACGGCTGCGGACGCTCACGCAACACGTCGCGAACAAGATCCTACCCAGACCCCCAGAGTTAAACGAGAACCCTTCGGGAATATAAAGATTGTGGGTTTTTAAAGTAAGCTCATTTTATCAAACAAAAAAACTTTATAATGTCTAGGGACACTGTTTCACGATGCGTTTGCGTGCCGAGGCTCAATCGTAAAGGAATCCCGACCGTCGCCTTTCGGGGCTTGCCGCTGCTCGTCTCAAAGACGAAAAACTGGATGCCAGGTTTCAAAGAGAGATGGCCTCCAACACCTAGCGATGAGATGCTTGAGGTTTTGTTGTGGGTTTTCTTTTGTCCTGCAGGTGTTGCATGTTTGACAAGCATTCGGAGGGAGAAGAAGCGTTCGGAGGGTGGGAAATAGTTGGGAACGAGGTGGTGCCCCTTACTGCCCCGAAGCGACGTCGAGGCGGTGCAGCCTTCCAATGGTGAAACGCGACTGCTTGCAGCAAGAATGCTACCAGTAGTGATGCTCTTTGTTCCTAGTAGCATCCTTGCTCCTAGTAGCATGTGTTCATTTGATTTCACTTGCGCTCCAAAACTGCAAATCCGAAAGAATGCAACAGCCGAGCTGAAAGCTTGACCCCCAAAATGGCAAGTAACAGAGTAAGAAAGGCTTTGAGAAGGTTTTAGGGGAGGAGGTGTGACGTAATTTTGTGATCGCGTGCCAAGACGCTTCCATCGCAGATGTTGACATTCGTGGGTCCAGCGTTGGAGCTGCCACAGATCTCCCATCCATCGCCACAAGAGGCGTGAAGAAAGCAAACCACAGCAACACAGGCATGAGAGCTAAGTTTGCTAAGTGCACTGAAATCGACCACATGTTGCGGCCTGATATGTTATGAAGAACAAACACGTGTTTGGAACTGTGAGCTGTTTGATGCTTGCTGATCCAAGTTCCCCTTGGCGCAGGTGGATGAATGGCACGCAAGGTACATTGATGCCTTGGTCAGCTCCTCAAATCGAAGCAAAAAGGAGTTTAATTAAGTTCTTTGACCAACGGCTTTGGTGCAGGTAGCTCTTTTCGACAAGCACAAGGCAGAGGTGGGGCCCGCAGGGCAATGCCGAAACGTCGCCCACAATGCCAGCATGTGAACGCTACGAACGGAGCAAAGGGCATCGCTACTAGGGGCTCCTGGCCTTACTACTAGGAACAAGTTCGCTACTAGAAACAATATATAAATTTGGCTAAGGTTAAAGTTAAATTAGAATTGAGATTAATAGCAATTGATGCTAATAGGAGGCTAAATTAGAACTGTAGTAGATTGGAGGCCGTCACAAGTAGGTTGAAGGCCATCCCTCTTAGGGTGGAGGACATCACTCTTGCTAGTAACGTCCTTCAGGCAGGGAAACCTGCAGCAGTGCTTGAGATTGTCTGAGCCACTCCGTGCTTCACGGTTTCATTTTCCCATGTGGCAGACAAGGTCTTCTCGAAGTTCGGACGTTTCAATTTTGATGCGGGAAGTTCTTCGAATTTCCAAAGTTCTTCTTGACTTGCCTAGCGAGTCACTGCATGTCGAATCCAAATACACCACAGTTGCCACTGCATTGGCAAAATATAAGTGCGACGCTGTTGCTCCGCCACGCTGTTGGCAAGTAAATTGCACCGAGTGGGCTAGCTTAGTTGCACTTGGCTTCAAGAAGAGTTCTTGTTTTCCTACCTAGACTTTGCTTTGGTGGCTGGCTTCTGGAAAAAGTAATTCCATGTGAAGCAATCGCTTCTAGCCATGGTATGAATGTGGCTAAGGTTGGTGTTGTGAGAACACAACGAAGGTAACTTGTTGGAGCAAATTAAGTGATACAACACCTAAAATTAGATGGATCTTGTCAAGAATGTCAAACTCCAAGAGGCTGAAAACTTTGGTACGCTTCTGGATTGACATCCCGGCGCGCTTATTTTCCGCTGCTCCCACGACTCTTCGGGTCACGCGGCTTGAGCCAAGATTCGGTCAATCTTAACGTGTGCGGTCACATGGATAAAGGTGTTCTTGACTGCAGTCAAGGGTGGCCAAAAACATGAACACTATTGTTCAAGGAAGCAACTTCAAGAAGTGACTTTTTCAGATTCAGGGCTGTGTTCCCAATGGTCCAAGATTACATGCGGCCTGATGCGGCCGCATGCAATCTGATGCGGCTCCACACTTGGTTGGAGTCCTCAAAGCTCTTTCTCCCACAGATCTGGTGTAGAAGGAAGGAAATCATCATCCTTGAGTCAGCGTGCATGGAGCGGTGGTGTCCTCTTTGAGCGGCAGGCCGATAGCCTGGAAATCCTCGAAGCAGCCCGCAAAGGCAGAACTCATAGAGCTCATCGAAGCAGTCACCTTGCAAACAGAGTGGCGTGCATTGACAAGAAAATCAGCGGCCTCCTTCCCAAGATTGTCAACCGCGATCGCACTGAAGCTCTTTGACTGGAGCATGGCGCACGGGACGCCTCAAGGTGAGAGCGGCTCATCTCAGATGGAAGCTGGATGCAGGCTTCTGGGAGCTTTGCTATGAGCTGGCGGACATCGGCACGAAGGTGGTGGCACCTCGGCGCACGCAGAACTTCATGAGGAATATGAAGACAGCAGGAGCCAACGCACAGGAGGACTACGAGGACCAACAACCAAAGGAGAGTAATGGATTGTTGACAGCTTTTGGAGTGCTGATGCTCATCCTTGGCGTGCTCTTCATGAAGATTGTCCAGAAGCGTTACCGATGGGACGAATGGAAGCATCCTTGTGGATCCCTGCTTCCGAAATCGCTGTCCCCGTCTTGGTGTGTGGCAGGCTGAGTTGAAAGAGCTTGATGCAGCTCTCAAAGTCGCTCCCTCCGCCAGCACATTAGTGCCGCCTTCCGTGACGCCAATTCGTTTAAGGTATAATATTCTTAAAAGGTGAAAAGGCGCGTACGCCAAACTTGACACAGCTTTGTAATACCACTGTTACGAAAGCATAACACCTTTGGAATGCAGCGTGTTGTATTGACACCACTGTGCACACCACTGTGCTCGGTAGCTTGACCATTTGTAATTGACAGCAGTTTCGCCATGCCTCCCGTACAACAGTGTGCAGAGTAGGCTCTGCTCAGAGGTGTCGTAATCGCGGCACCGATGAGAAGGCATTGGCGACGTTGGCTGTGATCCACACAACCTTGGGACAATTTAATATTCTTTTCGGTGTTTGTGATCGTAGGTTTGGAAGTTTTGTTGCCGGATTGGGATATAAAGAGCTTCGTGACTCTGCAAGAGAATCATCTCGCAGCCAAAAAGTCTCTAATCGACTGGGAAGTCCTCTAACATTCCCAGGAATGAGGGACATTGATTGGTGCTGCGGTGTAGAGCTTTATTGATAACCCGGAAGTCGCTAACAAGGCAAACATCATTTAAGTGGCCGAAGACTAAAACGGTTGTTGCATCGAGGGCCCGTACCGGTAGGCTCGGAGAGCAGGCTGAAAAGGCAAGGCAAACAGCAAGGGGCCAAGCGGATCGCCTTCCTGCACACTAGCTTCAGAGGTGAACATATATTGCCATGAAAGAGCAAATTACTATGGTGACCGTAGCACCATTCCCCCTAAGGGGCGAGGGCCGGCAAGTGTAATTGGACCTCCCGGAGGAGGGTAATTGAACGCATTGGAAAAGTCGACCTTGAGGAAAACATCAGTGACGTGCCCCCAAACGGCGGAAGAACTATTGTCGAAAGATATGGATAGGCGCAGACGGCGCGGGACCTGCTATTTGTAAGCCCGCAGCTTGGATGCCTTGTTTGTGGGTTACTGATGGCCTCCCGCTTCCACGGATGCCATTCTCGGTTCTGGCCGTCGGCTTGAGCTGCTGTCCCTCCCTGGCTCCTGAGCCGATTTTGCGCTGCCTTGGTTGCCCCTCCCTTGCTTGAGAAAAGCGACGCTGTCTTTGCCAAACACCGGCAGCCACTTTGTGCTCTGATCAACCTCGTGATCTCAGTCCTAACCGAGCAGTACAACATAACCTTCTCGATCTTGGCACCGGCACCGACCTGGCATTGCACAAGTCATCGTTTTCTAAGATCAATTGGCTCAGCAACATCCATTTGGAGATGCTATCCGGAATTTGCATTCTTAAATTTGAATGTTTCCTTGTTGCTTTGGACCTCTGGTGTCCTGGCCTGGGAGGGCATGGGCGGGCTGTGGCCCTGGACCCGGTGCGCCCATGGCGCCCTCTGCCTCCTACTGTGGTGGAGCTGGCCCTTCAGAGTTGCCTCTGCTTGAGCTGCCAGCCCCGCCTTGCCACCCTTCCATGGGAAGGGTTCGGGCAGCAACGCCAACTTTCCCACAAGCGTCACATCAATCGTGATCTGGTGCTTGAGGACGTTGATAGGTGCTGGATTCTTCAGAAATCCCATTTTCATCCTTTAGGAGGAGACATGTCTAATTGACGTACCCCACCAAGCCAAGGACAGAGTAATACCAACGGCGTTGCGTCTTGCAAAGACCACGCCAAACTGGAGACAGAAGGCCCATGCAAACAAGGAATATATTTCTTATCGACTACTAGGAAACAAATTGATGGCAAAGATCAGGAAGAAAAAGGGTGAAGTGTGTAAGACACACATGTCGGTGACTGACGACAGGCTTTCATACAAGAAAAGATTAAGGAACTTCAAAAAGCTTCTTTACCCAATGACGTCTGGCTCTCTGATGAAGAAGGAATGCAGACCCGACAAGGATCCTCAACATTAATTTATCTTGACCTGAAAGAAGAACAAGGAGGGGACGCCCGAGACTGATCACCCAAGGATTCAAAATTCCTGATGCGCTGCCTGGTGCCTTCAGTACAAATGCCCCGATATTGACCAGACAGTCAAGGGACATGATCCTGTCATCTTGCCAGATACTTGTGGAGGACTTTTACCAGTGACATCACCACAACAACTTCGACTAATAATTCCAACAGAATGATTGCCCAGATCCAGAATCATTTTTGGAATTACAATAAGGTGATTTAACGTTGATGAAGCAGATGTATGCATTGTGCGATGCCCTGAAAGCTTAATGAGAGAATTCTGAGGGCGGGAGGTGGAAACATCCAGCGTCATCTCTTTCTGCTCTACCGCGTGGAGAGAGATTCTGCCTGCGTCTTTGGAATCAACGTAGACGATCTTATGGGCCAAGTTTCATGGACACCAAACAAAAAGTTGCAGGAAATCTTCACATTTCGAGAGGGGTAGGATTGCGGTAGCCAGGTTGACTGTGAAGAGGATGATGGGAGGGATACATCCACAAAGTCAACCGATCCCGACAAGCAAGGAAAAGACTGCCAGACACTCCCGGGCAGTAACAGAAACGGAACGATCCATAAAGTTCTCCAAACCTACAAGTTGGCATGTCCCAGTTGGTTGTTGAGACCTCCTGAGTTACCATTAACGATTCGCTAAGGAGTATCTTGATGTTGCCCTGCAACACAGAAAAGGATGAAATGACCTTCATTGCGTATAGTGACGCTTCCTTGGCGACCAGATGGGATTTGAGTAAGCATATAGGGAGGTTACAACCTTATCGATGGAATATTGATATTATTGGATAACGTCAACATTGATTACGTGGAGTGTATTCCCATTTATTTTTTAAGAAATATATACCTCGGTCGAAGATGGAAGGAACGCATTGGGCGTAGATTGGAACGATAGCTGGCTCCCGTGCTACCTAATAGACGAAATGTCAAAATTCCGGACAAAATTAAGATTTTTTTTGTCATCGATATGATTTATACATTATATAACCTATTCATTTTTGAATCTTTCGTCGCGCGCCGCCCTTGGCTATGTGGAAAAGGTCGTAATCGACGAATCTTCGTGAACGAATTTAATTGGCATTTTACGAACCTAGTGTCGGAAAACACCCCACTTTTCTAATATAAATCTTCTAAGAGAATTTTGTTATTTACGAAAGCTAGTTGGAATTATTTTTGTGATAGTAAGGTTTCGTTCGACCGGATACAAATCTTAATTCTTGATTTTTTAGGTCGAAGATTTCCCTTTCCTCCTCCTTTCTTTCCACCTCTTCTTTCTTTACCTCCTTCCCTTTCCTCCTCCTTATTTTCTTCTCATTTTCTTTCTTTCCCTTTTCCCTTTTCCTTCTTCCCTCTTCCCTCTTCGTAAGTTCGACTCCGTCCTGTTGTCGCTCTTTGGCATGCGGTTAGCGTTACGTATTTTACGGCCGTACTCGTTTATTTTCACTTTCACTATTTTATTATCTTTTTTATCTTTTTCTCATCTCTTTTATTTCTCTTTTCTTTCGCAGGAGGATTCGGGCAAAGAGCTATATATAAAGGATTCTTTATCCTTGCCTCCAAAAAGAATGCCGTGTTTTTTCCTACCTCGCTGCTCTCTATTTTCCCATTCTGGAGCGCTACCTTTCGCTTTCCCTTGGCCTTAAGTTAAGAAATATTGGCGATTAATTGTATATTTATAATTGCACCCACCAGATTGTCATTAATTATTCGATTATTACGGTAATTATGGTATTTAAGGATATAAATTAGGATACATATTTATTTGTGGTATAAAATCCATGGATGAGGATACGATGAAAAGAATGA